GCTTGGTTAGATGAAACTTAGTGAGGCCTGTTGTCCCTTCTTTCATCCAACAGCTTGGGACACTAAGATAGGAAGATTGCAATACTGAAGCCAGCCATGACAATGGAGAAAGGCCCAGATCAACAGACAGTATACATGGTGGGTAGATCTAAATAAATTTTAAATATCCAGCCTAAAGTAATTTGTGAAACATGCAAAAGGACCTGAATTTAATTTCCAGTAGTACAGCATAAAAAAAAAATTATTAGTATTTACTGGAAAATTTACTGCAAGGTTAGTGAAACAGTAATGCACCACAGGCATCCAAACGCATTTCACCTCCATAGTTATCATCACAGCCTGTGTTTCTCCGGATGAGCTGGTCACTTACGGCGGGGGCAGGGAGGATAGGTATTTCTTGTTTGCCAGGCCGCACACTGGAAGGGGCTGGGGTCTGGCTGTTTGCAGTCCAGTGGCAGCCTGCATATGGTGCTGGTTCTCAGAATGGGCTGGCTGGTGCAGCTATGGTTGTCACTCTACCCAGTCCACCAATGGCATGGACTCACAGGGTAAGGATCAGGTCTTAGTTGTTCCCAGTCCAGTGGTGGCCTGTGCATGACACTGGTTCCCAGACTGGGTTTGTTTGCTGGTACAGCCTTTGTTCTCTCTGACCCCAATCCACAAATGGTGCTGCCTCAAGGGGAGAGGCTCAGGTCTAGCTGTTCCAAGTCCAGCAGCAGCCGGTACATTGCACTGGTTCCCAGCCTGAGCCTGTTCGCTGGTAGTAGAAAAAATATTTCCCTTCCTAGTTCTAATTTATGTTGATTCTGATAACCATTCTATCTCCCTTATTCTTAGAGAAAATGTTTAACTTTCTACTTTGCCCTATCTTATTTCCACTGCCTCTTCCTTGCTCTTAGTGGGCTGAAGTGATATCTAACTAGCATTCTCATATCCATTCTTGGAGCTATCTCTCCTTTCAGTGATTTACATGACTCTAGTCAAAGTGGTGACTATGAGCCTTTGTTTCCTGTTCCATAGGTGGACAGAGCCTGCAATCCCTGAATTTTTTTTTTTATTTTGAAGAGAATAAAATCAAACAAAATAAAACAGAATAAAGTCAATCCAAACAAAACAATGAACGTGATATAGGACTTCAAATCAAAATAATAGGAAATCAACAATGGCTACTATTATGCCTCTTGTTATCTTCAAAGTAGCTGCCTATACCATCAGATATCAAATGAAAGAAAATCAAATGAAACAAAACAGAATAAAATCAATCAAAACAAAACAATGACAGCAATATAGGACTTCAAAACAAGATAATAGAAAATTAACAACAATTTCCATAATATAAATTTTTATCTTTGAAATAGTTGCCCATACCATCAGATATAATAAAATCAAACAAACAAAAACAGAATAAAACCAAACAAAACAGAACAATAAAAACAATACAGGACTTCAAAACAAGATAAAAGGGAATCAACAATGTCTACTGTCTTCCCTTTTTAGACGTCTCCTCCCCTTTCACTTTCACAACATCTATTCTGCATTTTGGATCCCACTAACTCCTTTAATTTTTATACTACAATGTGTACTATACACAATGTTCAACCATGTGTTTGAACCTTTTCATCTGTGAGCATGATCTCAGCTTGCATCCATTTATCTACAAAGAGCCTCAAGGTTATCTTTCTTTATAGTTGAACAGCTTTCCATTGTATAAAAATGCTGTCTCTTTCTTTTTCATTCTGTGGTTGATGAGAAAGCTACCCTGCTTTTTTTGGTTCCCTGTCACATATGGCATTGTTTTCTCTCCTTTGACTTTCAGTTTATGAATTTCCTTTCATGTTAAATGTGGTTTTATTTACATAAGGTATTTTGATAGATCCTGTCGCCCAAACCACTATCTATATTTTTTTATTGATGAATTGGGGCCATCTACATTAACGGTTATGGTCAACATGCACTGGCTCACCTCTGTCTTGCTATTTTCCTGCCATTGGCTCCCTACTTTTTCCCTCTATTTAACTGTTTGCCTGGCTTGGCGATCTCATTCTGGCATTATTCCTGGAACTATGGCCATTTTCCTCTCTCTCTGGAATATCCTTCAATACTCTTTGTCATGGTGGTCATGAATTCCTTCAGTTGTTCTTTGTCATGGAAGTATCCTATGTCTCCATTAATTATTTTAAAGAGAATAAAACAAAACAAAACTGAACAAAGCAGATCAGAACAAAACAATGCAATCAACACAAGATTTCAAAACAAAATAATAGGAAATCAATAGTGGTTACCATAATGTCTCATTTTCCTTGAAATAACTGTCCATATCTTCACACACAATGAATTCAACCAAGACAAAATAGTATAAAACCATTCAAAACAAAAGAATGAAAGCATTACAGTCCTTCAAAACCAGACAATAGGAAAATCAATCTCCATTAATTTTGAAGGATAGTTTTGTAGGGTAATCAATCTGGATTGGAAGTTGTTTTCTTTCAGGACTTGAAATACTTCACTCCAACCTCTTGACTTGATGGTTTGTGTTGAGAAGTCTGTCATGATTCTGATGGGTTTTCCTTTACAGGTCATCGGTTTCTTGTCTCTAACAACTTTTAATACTGTTCTTATGCTGAATTTCTGGGATCTTGTTTCTTAAATGTCTGGGTGTAGACTTACTTTGGTTATAGCTAGCTGGAATTCCATATGCCTCACTTATCTGAATGTCAAGTCTTTTTCCATGCCTGAGAAGTTGTCTGCTCTCACTTCTGTAAAATTTGTGTTGACCTCTGCTTATTCGCTGACACCTATCACTCTTAAATTATTTTGTGTCACCTTGCAGCTTGAATTATTTCCTGGTTCCTTGTTATTTTTAAGCACAGAGTTTCAGTTCAGGCCTTCCAACAGTCTGGCCCCTAGACCTCCCAGTGTGTGTCATCAAAGCATAGCAAGGACTGGATCTGATTTTCACTCTAGTGATATTAGAAAGTCAGCCCATAGGGAAGGCCCAAAGTGAGAGAGAGTGTTCAAGTACAGACTGAAAGTTATCTGGGTAGTCATCCAGCCTGGCTTTAGGGTGCAGAGGTAGAGAGATGACAGCTCTTGGGGTCTTTTGTCCTCTCAGGTTACAATGTCATTCAGGAGCTTATGTGTACTGTACCTGCTAAGTCAGAGAGTTTCAGCTACTATGAATTCTTATTTCAGAAAATATGCAGATGTAACCTAACACCTTATCTGCCTTTTCCACAATTATGAGAAGGTAGGCTTTGTGAGATGTCAATGATACAAGAGACACAGGAAATATCTTCTGCCCTAAAGAGATTTGAGAAAATGCTACAGATATTCAAGTGCATGTTTGCTAGTGCACAGTGTTCATATCCACTGAAACTGTGATATACACTGTCCATACTACACCACTACCAGCAGGCAATAATTCTATTTCTCATAATCACCAAAGCACAGTATTTCTAACTGGTACAATTTATGGGTACAAACTGAGATTCATTTTCATTTTTTTTTTGTCTTTTATGCAACCTTTCTCTTATATCTTCATTTTTCTCTTCCCTGTATAATCCTGTCTGTAAATTATCTGTTTATGTTATGTGTTCATATTTATGAGATTACCTTTTGAATTAAATCTTTTAGCTGTGTATACCATTGTCAGTTTTACAAAATGTCTTTTACAGTTTTTCAACAGCAGGTTAATTTTATTAAAGTTTCTCTGCTGAACAGAAATCCTAAGTATTACTGGGTTATTTTCTATTCAAAGTCACCGTATCACTTGTGGCTTTACAAATTTACATCTAAAGCTTTCTCCATTCACAGATGAGAAAGTCATTTTCTTATAAGTTGTTCTATCTTTCACATTTTCATATTTAATATTTTTCTCAACTTTGAATGTCTGCACTACAAAAATGAGGTTTACTTGGCATATAAAATATACAATTTATGACTATAACTGGATCATTAATTACATTTTCCTCTTTATTTATACTGCATATAACAGCATTAACACATATCACAGTTTTTAAAAAAGCAGAACTATTTCTTGAGATTTCTTGTAAATTTAGTGTGTCTACATTGTATCTGATGTTCAGACTTAAATAAGTATAACACTGTAACCTTTCACCCAAAAAATGGGAGAAGATAATTCTCCTTATTGTTATTTGAGATTTGACAATTAATGTCGTGTCCTTTGTTTCCCAGAAGGGAAACAAACATCTCATTCCAAAACTAAGATATGATCTTTAATTTTCCTCCAGAGTTAATTTTTCCTCATATCCCAGCAAAAGTGAGCTTTAACCGATTCTTTAAAAAGGCCATCTCAATTATGACAAATTCAATTTCTATTTCTGGTACTAACAAAATTTGCATCACCCTTTTTATTGCATCCTGCATGTCTTGAAGTTTTGTAATTCCCAAGATTAGGCTAAAGACTGGAACCTGAAACGAACTATGTAGTCTTACTTTTCCTTGACAATAACATTTGTGGCCAAATGTTTAAGGTAACCTCACACTACAATGAAAAAAGAAAAAGATAACTGATGTAAAAATAGATGCCCATAACCAAAATAAAATTACAAATAAAAGTTAATTTAAAAAAACAAAGGGAAGGGGCTGGGGATCTAGCTCAGTGGCTCCAGCATCTGCCTGGTTAGTGTAAGTTCGAATCCCAGTACCAAAAAAAAAAAAGAAAGAAAGAAAGAAAGAAAGAAAGAATTTAACTCAAGAGCATAAGCACCTCCCTGTTAAGCGCAAGTACAAAAAAAAAAAAAAAAAAAAAAAAAAAAAAGGAAAGAAAGAAAGAAAGAAAGAAACGGAAAAAAAGAATTGAGGCAAAACGAAGCTAAGAGAGCATAAGCTTAGGAATCACAATTTGTCAGTCACCAAACACAAAACAAAAAAAAATTTATATGGCTATGCATACAGATACATCTTGCTCATTCCTTCAATTTTTAAAATAAATTTGACAAGTCACTCAAATTAATTTGCAAGTGCAGACCCTGCCCTACCTTTCAAGCTGCAAGCTGTTTCATTTCACACCATTTGAAATGAAACGGTAATTATTAATACACAGTCATGTTTCGTGAGATGCAGGCCAGGGCATATAGATGCTCCTCCTGCACATCAGGTGAGGAATGGGGCTGGGTGTCACCGCACTCCTGCGCTGCAGACTCCGGACTGGACCTCTGGGCCTCCGGTCCCGCAGGACGGCGATGTTGTCGGCCAGACTCGGATACCGCAGAGCAAGTTCTGGGCCAGAGGCGCCCGCTGGGAGGCGGAGCTGCACAACCGCACCGGGAAGCGGGACCTCAGCCCAGGCGTGGCTGTCCTGGACCCGGCCCTCACTGCCTCACGTTAGCTGTTCACCTCCCTCCGTGCCCTCCCGAGGCTCCCAGCAGCACCTGCAGGCCGGTGAGTCGCCGCCACCGCGTCACGCCGCGCTGTGCCAGCCCCGAAGGACTCCAACGCACTTCCGCTTCCGGACTAGGGACCGCCGGAGAGCGGACGCGAGGTCTCGTGCCTTCAGGTTTAGGGAAGGACTCGTCCCTTCCTCGTCCAGCCTGAAGGAGAAATTTTAGTTTCTCTCTGAAGAGATGGAGGAGAGGGTGAGGTCCAAAACGGCCGGGAAGGTGGAGCCGCAGCCGGCAGTCTCGGACCCGCTAGCCTGAGGGTGGGCGGGCCCGAGCGTGAGCGGGGTAGGGCTCGCGTGTGTCTCTGAGGGCTGTGGAGAGGCTGCGCTGGTTGGGCGGGCAGGCCCAGAGGGCGTGGCAGGGGCGGGGCTATTGGTAAATCTCGGCTGCGGGATGTTTAACTTTCCTCTACTCCCTTCTCAGTCCCTTATGTCTTGTTCCATTATTTTAATCCAACATCCTACAAAAGCATACTTATACCTAAAATGGGTAATTTTCTTCAGTCTTCCTAATTCATATTTAGAATAGCACTGTATAATTTACTGTACAGCTGATTTTTTTCACTAGAACTTTTTAAAATGAATGAGGCGTGGCTGGCTGTGAGAACAGGCAGATGAAAGAGAGGAGAGGAGCTACAGAAAGAGGGATGAGGTTACTCCCTTCCCGTAGACCTAGCAGCGTACTGTATATGCTTCATTAGCAGAATATTTATTTCTAAAAGAAAAACCATTATAAAAAAAATCAAGAAACTGGAGGTAGAAGAGTTAGTTGAAGGTGGATCTTACAGGATCCGTATCAAGGCAAAAGGAGTTTAATGGGATGGTGAGAAACGTTTTTGTTCTTATTTAAATTACATCTTCTGAGTAGTACATAACTCAATTTTGGTTTTCAGCAGCCAGAAGTAAATTTTTCCAAGGAAGGAAACATAATTGACATATTTAATGTGATTATTGATATGTTTAATGTACTTTTTCACTTTTTAAAAATTTAATGTATGTTTCCTATCTATCATGTTTATTTTTGTATATCGATTGTACCAGGTCTCTTTACTCTTGTCAGTTTGCTCCCTCTTTACTTCAGGGTGTTCACTTGAAAAAGTAAAAGGCCTGGTTAAAATTAACTTAAGGATATTATTTAGCTTTGTTTCTGTCTTATTTGTAATAGCCTTTATGAGATGTGATCAAAACATTCCATAAATGTGTAAATTTTAAAGCAACTGCTACGGTAGAAGACACATTGTCATTAACTCCATTCAAAATACTCCATCACCTTAAACACGCTTATATCATCATTCTTGCCACTTTCTGATGCAGTTCTGGAAGACCTCTCTCAGGTCTGTAGTGGTGTTGTTGTGGCTACCTCAATGTCATCGTGCATTAATTCAAACTGTTTACCTTACATGGCCATTTCAACTTTGGTGAAAGGTCATACAGCAAACAGTGGTAAATCTAACAAATGTGGTTGATGATAAACACTGAAATGTTTTTATTTGACAGAAGTTGATGTAAACATTTTGAATTGATTCAGGACTTTAAGGCCACCAGGAATGATTACTTCCAAGACAGCTTTGTAAGATGGCAAGAATGATGTGTAAGTGTGTTCAAACTGATGCTGCAGGATTTTGAGGGAGATTAATGAAAAAGTGTCTTCTGATAATTTTCTATTGAAACATTGTTCATAGTTTTTATCGTATCATATTTTGTCTTATAACTTTGTGTGCGTGCGTGTGTGTGTGTGTGTGTGTGTGTCCTTTTTGAGACAGGGTCTCCCTATGCAATATAGGCTGGCCTTGAGCTCAGTTGTAGCTAGGCTGCTCTTGAACTTGCAATGGTCCTCTTGCCTCAGTCTCCTGAGTGCTGGAATGACATGCGCACCCACAACACCTGGCTTTGTCTTTATATCTTAAAATCTTCCATATGACTTATACAATATTGTGAAGTATTAAAGAATGCAAAATAGGAAAATAATGTCTGCTAATATACCTGTCCCAAATTTCACAATAGTCTACTCAATGCATACATTTGATCTGGAAATTTGTATCTTTCAGCTTGAGGAAATTATGTTATTTTCTTTGTTAACTTACTCCTTGTCTGTGTTTGGTTTTTGGTGTTGTTGTTGTTGGTTTTCTTCCTGAAATTCCTCAAACTCTTTGTCCTTTGGTCTCCTTTTTTGGAGATTGTCACTAATTTGTGTCTAAGTCTTCGGTTTGCTTTTTATTTTGACTGGTTTATTTTAAAGGAATAAATACCTCTTAATTCCTTAAAACTCTTCTTTAATTTTTCATTAGTATGTGTTTGTGATACACTTACCATGTAAAATTGGTACATACACATATAGAATCTTGAGGCTTTTTACTTCCCCTTGACCTCACCTTCCCCTTGTCTCTTCCCATCTTCAGATCCCTTCCTAGCTACACAAAATCCATCTCCATGCTTCCTATTGTCTTTATTTTGATGTATACCTTATTTATACTTTTCTCATAAGTTCCACATGTGAGAAAAACCACTCAATACTGAATTTTCTGGGTCTGACATTTCACTTAGCATTATGGTCCCAAGTTGCATCCATTTTATAAAAATGGTTCAATATCCTTTATGGCTCAGTAGTATTCTAGTATTATAGTTTGTATCTATATGTTCCTGAAAACCTTATACAGTAATATGTGGAATTTTTCAGAGGTAGATGATCTAGGGTATGTGAATATAAATTATAGAAATGCAGTAACTTCTGTATCAGTCCGCTGATTGAAGTAGTATAGTTCTGGGTGTGGCCAAATGGATTTACTGAAGACAGAGGACCCATTCTTGCTGTTAGTGGCAGCAACCAATAGGCTTATTGCCTGAATGAAATGAAAAAGATAAGCAGATTTGCTTCTGCTCTTTCCACTTGCCAAGCCATGAACTGTATCTTCTCTGCCATGCATGTTTGCCATACTGCTTCATAGTTCAGCCAGCCAACTATGAACTAACTTCTGCAAGCTATGAGCTAAAATAAACCTTTCCTCCTTTAATTTAATTTGCCCCAGAAACAAGAAAGTAACTAAGACATTCATTACGTATTTATACCACATTTTATCTATTCCTTTGTTTATAGATATATAGGGAACTACCAGGATTTAGCTGTTATATGTTATGCTGCTGTAAACATACATGTGGATACATCACTATAATATTATGTCCTCAACTCTTTTAGGAAGATACTCAGTAGTGGTACATTAGGGTTGAATGGAAATACTAATTTTAGTTTTTTGATAAATCTCCATGCTGATTCTAATAATACTTGCACTACTTTATATTCCCACCACAGTAAAGAAGGGGTTTTTTTTTCCCCCTCACAACTTTACTAGCTTTTATAGCTGTTTGAGTCTTTGAGGATAGCCATTTTTTTTGTGGAGTAAGATGGAATCTCAAAATTGTTTTTATTTACATCTCTTTTATGGCCAAAGATGCAGAAAACTTTTTCATGACTTCCTAGCCATTCATTTTCATTGTTTTGAGGCTGTTTATTTCAACTGTCCATTTTTAATGAATTGTTCATTTGGTGGTTATAATTTTTTGAGTTCTTTGGATATTGTATTTTTTCCTTTGTATATTCTAGCAATTAGTCATCTGTCTGAGGAATAACTGGGGAAATATTCCCATTCTGTATGTTGTATGGGAAACAATAAGTTATGTCTTTTCTATCAAACAGGAGCGAACCCATCTTGGATGCTAGCCCTTCCTAGATAGCCCTTTCTCAACACACTAAGTTACAGAAAATGCCCACTCAGTTCCAATCCTCATCACACAGCTAAACACCAAAGATATCTTATCAAGGGAATATTTTCTGTTCTCCAAACCCTCCCCTCTTCCAATTTGCTCTTTCTCCTCAGCAACTCCTCTGATTCCCCTTTGACTTCTCTGAGCCAATCAGGATAGATTTTGACCTCTACATCAGCCAGTAGGAAAGAGGTCAGCTCCTCTTCCTGAATTTGGAATCTACAACTCTCCTTGTCCTGCACACCTGCTACCACAAGCTTGTGTCCTTTTGCAAAGTATATAGACTTGTTGAGATTTTTTTGGTGTCTGAGTGCTTTATTGTCTGCCAATAAATTGAGTGTAGTGCTTATTTCCAACAGTTTGTCTCTTCACTCCTTTGTTTCCTTGTTTCCAAGGTTGTTTCCTTGCTGTGCAGAAGCTTTTCAATTTGATAAAAACTGAACCCTTTCTAAACCATGATCCAAAGTAAACTTTTCCTCCTTACATTTGTGGGTGTTGCATATTATGTCTTAACAGTGAAAAAGCAAGAAAGAAACATAGAGGCTGTATTAAATCTATAAATTGTTTTTGATAATATGGTTAGTTAGACAGTATTACTTCTTTCCATCTAGGTATGTGGGATGTTTTTTCACTTTCTGATACCTCTTAAATCTCTTTTGTAATTGTTATTTTAAAGAGAATGAAACCAAGCAAAATAAAACAATAAAGCCAATCAAAACAAAACAGTCTGATACAGGATTTCAAAGCAATTTAATAGGAAATCAACACTGGTTACCATAGGCCTCTTGCTGTCTTCAAAATAACTGCCCATACTCTCAGACACAGTAAAAATCATGCAAAACAGAACAGAATAGAACCAATAAAAACAAAACACAATAAAGGACTTCAAAACAAGATAGTAATAAATCCAAAATGGCTACCATAATATATCTTATCCTTGAAATAGCTGCCCATGCCATCAGATATAATAAAATCAA